GTACCTTGCCGTTGGAGATGGCCTACGGAGGGAAGTTCACCTGCAATTCAAACAGCCGGACTTCGCGGCGTCTCGGCAGCTCATTGCACGTTTCACAATTGTTTGACGTTCTTTTGGTAGGCTGTCCGGCGTGACGTGCCTACGTGCGCCTCGGCCATCGCTCCTTGCGGCTGCTCGTCACACCCGCTACCTGGTTGATCCTGCCAGTAGTCATATGCTTGTCTCAAAGACTAAGCCATGCACGTCTAAGTGTGAATTCTTTGCACTGTGCCCCACAACGCAGCAACTACAGCGCCTCCACTGGGACTTGGACTTGTTTTCACAGTACTCAGGGGCACGGGTGAACTGGCGGAAGTCGAAGGCTATATTCCCACAAGGATGGGTAGCCCCAGACGGATGGGATGTACCCACCTTGGATGACGGTGAAAACATGTGTTTTTTGGGGGCCATGATCCATCCGGTGGGTGGGGGTGCTCAGCCGATGGAAGGCTTGGCAGCGGCAGCGATTTTGAGGTTGGGGCGATGGGCGAAAAGGACACACTTGGGAGTGTTTGGTAAGGCCCTTGTCCTTAAAAATTCGGTGCTAGCAACGATGTGGTACGCTGGTGCCATTCATATGCCGAAGAGGCGGGTCTTTCGACAGCTGCGGACAACTGTCCATCGATATCTGTGGGCAGGACATGTGGAAGCGATATCGGTAATCCCCAGGGTGGCCTGGCCGAAACTCATCCAGCCCAGGAGTCAGGGGGGGCTGGGGATCTTGGATCCAGAACTGCAGATGATGGCGCTACAGCTGCGCAACTTGCTGTGGACTCTGCTGGGGACGGCGGGAGCAGCGTGGGAGAGCCTCACGATTCAGCACCTGGCCCTTGCCCTTGGCATGACGGAGCAGATGGTTCCAGTGGCGCTGGCTAGCCCGGGGCTCATTGGCCATGTCAAGAGGGACCATGTCTGGTCGGCTGTATTGGTGTTTTGGAAAAAGATCCAGCTGCAGCAGGAACTCCCGGTCACAGCGGATGACGTCTACAACCAGCTCCTCTTCGACAATCCCTGCATTTGTGATGACGAGGGTGATCCATTTCCATGGCACGGGAAGGTGGGGGCTTTTGGGAAGCACTGGGCGGAGTGTGGGGTGTTCAAGATCGGACACCTGTGGGATGAGGGGGCAAGGGACTGGAGGAATGAGGATGTAATGGCGACGCGGCTTCCCCGTAAGTTCCGGAGGCGGCAGAACTTGGAGGCCCTCCGGAGGGCTATCCCCACGCAATGGGTGGATATTCTGAGGGAGGACTGCAGGTTGGTGGGAGAATGGGTGAGAAGTAAGGGAGAGATGCACCCCCAGCAGGTACAGGGGGAGGAGGTGGTGACGCGTGAATGGGAAGTGGTGACTGGCTATGAGGGTCTGGGAGCCCCAATGAGAGTTGGACCAGGTGGAGGGAAGAGGTGGAGGATCGATGAGATCGAGACGGTGGCGGTGTGCGAAGAGGAGAAAAAGGAGGCGGGACTGGGAAGCCCCCGACCATTTCGGGTGAGTAGCACGAGGAGAGAACTGGCGATTAACCCTAAGGAGTGGAGCTGGCCGAAGCAGAATCATAATACAAAAAAAGTCCGGCTCCACCAAGTGACTACTAGGATCATATACCGCTCCCTCCTCTCTCAGTTGGATGTGCGTGAAGAGTTGGTTGGGCTAAAAGGGAGTGGCTCCCAGCGATCTACTTATATAGGTGGCGGCAGAAGGAATGGAAGGAGCAGTGCGCAGTGCTGAAATCGCTGTCGAACCAGAAGCAGGCTGGGCTGCTGTGGCTTATCTACCACCTGGCAGTCCCTACTGCGCAGTGGCAGGCCAACAAGAGCAACTATCGAGATGAGCGCTGTGCAGCGGGATGTGGCCAGGTGGAAACTATTCCTCACCTCTTAGTCACTTGCCTGGTCATTCAACAGTTCTGGAGGTGGTGGGCGGCCGAAGTGGGAAAGAGCTCCCCCTTCTGTGTTACGGAGGACGATGCGGCACATATCCTGTTGGGTGCCCTGATTATGGTGGAAAGGAAGGACAAGGGGGAGCTATACGCCTCGGAGGTGATACGTGCGGCTCTTCTGTGGGCCATTTGGACCCTCAGGAATGAACGATGCAGACAGGGCAGGGAGGTCACTCTTGAAACTTTACAGGCACAGGTCCTCTGGAGTCAGAGGACGGCCATGTCCACAGAGGCTTTGCGGAGTAGGAGAGCCCAAGATCATGGCCTGACGAAGTTTTGGGCGGTCTGGGGCAACTACCCAGGCCTGGTACAGCAGGACGGGAACCTTGGCCTGTGGAAATATGGCCCTGCCTTGTGCAGTCACGGACTCGCCTAGGACCAGGGTGAGCAAACAGGAGCAGGTGGCTTGAGTTTGTGTGTGGGAGTATGCTTTTTGAGCTTGTGTTAGGAGGGAGGGTAGTGGGGGGTAGCAGGGAAATAGGTGCAAAGTGGGGGATGAGTAGCTGAGGTAGTATGGAGGACTT